CTTCCTGAAGTCAGCTAACGATATGTTCAAGAAACACTCTTTTGATGGCATTAACTTCGACTGGGAGTTCCCCGGGAACAACGATGAGTGGATCGCGTATCGGAATCTGATGATTGAGACAAAGTTGTCGGTGGCAAGAGAGGGCAGGAGCGCTAGTGTTACAGTGGCGTAAGTTGTTCATTTGCGCATATTGTCGAATTATGTATCATCCTTCAGCATCGGTGGGTCATTCGACCTTTACAAGAAGATCGACTTATGTAGCCGTATCGACATGTGCCTTTGGATGGGATACGACAACTATGGTGACCCCAGAGGACATTCCGACATGCTTTGGGTGGAAGCGATGGTCTTACAATGGTTATACTATGAGTCGATGAGTCCAACCAAGTTCGGTCTGGGGGTGAGTGATAGCACTAACACCCTTAATTACTGCCAGATGTCATCCTCTGAAGGTACCTCTTTACGGCGAGGACCGACATGGGAGGCAGATAAGATATTCGCAGCTCGTCGCTGAGGGGGCCGATCCTAAAGGCAATGGGACCTTCAACGGGTATTTTTTCGATTCCCAGCCCATACTGCAAGATAAGATAGTATTCGCCAACCTCAACAAGCTGGGCGGGCTAATGGCATGGGTATTGCAGTCTGACCTCCCTCCAAACGACACACGTTCCCTATTGTATGGTATCAAGCAGAAGCTCAATCCATGAGAACTTGATCTTGACGCAGACTGGCAGCCTACAGTCTTGATTTTTGGCTCTGCATAACAGAGAACCTGTCCCCAGTCTCCTATTCAAATTGTTGGTGAAGTTTTTAATACTTATAAAGGCATCTCGGCATTTCAATGAGCTATAACATCTCAGGACTTCTTCTGAGAGGCGTTGTATTTTGTCAATAGAAAGTCATGAATCACCACGAACAGACCACATCTCACAAAGACCAGGGACGATGGACAAACATGATATTATGGTGAGATTGATACGGCCAAAACACAATGTAAATGTGACGATTTGCACATCGGCAGATTGAGCCCAAGCCGAAAGGATACTTCTTTGGCTCTTCGAGTGCTAATCTGGGGAGCGTTAACTTGTCTACTTATCAAGTAGACTAATAGTCTACTCCCCAGCAAGCTTAAGAGCATGCACTATGCCGATCTTATAGCAGTGCTATAATAGCACCACCACTGGGTCTCCAGTACACGATTGATATCTTGTAGAA